AGACAAATCGTTGTTTTGTGAATTTCGGTTTTGCGCGCACCCCAATCGGGTCTGTACGCTTCGATAAACTTGACACATAGTGTTAGTGGGAAAAGATACGAAATGAAATTAAAAACCACCAACAGTCCAGGATCATGTCCAGTAACGACCATACCTGTATAAACGGAGAAACTAAATTCCCTAAATGTTTATTACCGAACAGAGAAGAACGATAAAAAGTGATGCAGAGAACAAACATCCAAAATACTCTTCCTAATTTGAAAATTTCTATGAATCAAATGAATAGTAAATACACATGAAACTAGTGAAATCGAATGTTTGTGTTCATTCCTATAGACTGATAGTAGTTCACTAGCGTAAAAACAATGTGATGGACAATCATTTAATAGACTTTCAGAGGTGGTGTATCACTATATTACTGATGATAACACTGACCACAAATCAACCGCCTATAAACATTCTTCTCTATAAAATCATCAGACTTTCGCTTAAATTTGATCGGTTCATGATCTCAGTCAAAAACCAACACTCTCCACAACCGCACACCGATCATATTTATTTTCATTATCTCAAAACTACGTCGTCTAACTACACTTCACAATAGATAGTGGTTAGTGAAAAAGTTAAACAACTGGTTGATTAATAATTTGACTCCTTGTAATAAACTAGTAAGTGTAAATATCAGCGAAAATTTTAATGAATAATCCTATACTACTATTTAGTGAATGAATCACCCTAAAAGTAGTTGAAGAGATTCATCCTGCAAAACCACCTCTATCCAAAATGATGATATTTGTAATTGATTTCACATGACCGTCAACTGATTAGAAAGAAGGAAATGCTCCAACAGGATAAAAACCTACAATCTACTAATAATACTTGATTGATGCAGGACTCTATTTTCGATTTGATCCGTTGGACACCATACAGGCATGATAATATGTAATAAAGAAACTGTCCAATATTTCGAGACTTCCAACGAGTCCCTAACTGGTCTCTACCAATGTTGAAAATCATCTTTAGAATTCGCTTCTCGTTACTAAACTGCAGCTGCAACCAACATCCCAATGGAGAACACACAAATCGATCAATTGTGGTGACTTGAAATAACGGTCTAATTACTGATATAAATGTTTAAATGATATATCACGTATAATTGTATTCAAAAATCATACGTTCTACTTTATTCATTTCGAATTAGTTTACATTAAGTCAACTAAGCGAAAGGTATATGGAATATAGTTCAGTCTGGTTTTAAATACCTCGATCATTAATGTAACAAATTAAATAGGTTAGACAAAAAATACTTTGTTTTTGAAAGTGTAACCAATTCTCTCTATGATTCCAATGCATTTGACCTATATGCATATATACGTCAGTTGTGTGCGTCTGTAAATTCAACTTTGTAAACATCACCACATAAGTATCATAAATGAGAAGTGCACATAAATCTTAAGCGATAAACTACCTTGATACATCAATTCATAATATGAATTACACTTTATTGAACAGAATTTATAAACGTAAATTATTTGTTTGTATGTAGGTGTGTATCAATGACGGTAATTTGAACACGATGTAAAGTCGATGGAAATTTTATAATCCTTACAAAGACCTACACTGAGAACAGTTTTCTGTCATAAAGCTCTCCCATAGGATCAGAATGAAATCGTTAAGAAGAACTATAGTTGAACCTAATAACTAGGATCACTTTGATGGAAAAACGAGTCAATTATAATAGTCTATCAGAATTTATCATGTTTATTTTGTACTAAATTTTCCATATCATTTTATTGCACACAAAATCCTATTCTCCAGACTATCGACGTTCTCTATGATTCCTATGCATTCATAGGCTTGTGTCAATAATACATTCTCGTTCTCGGTCATCACATCATATCATCGAGTCCATATATCAACTAGCATTTTACTGATTGATTTGAAACGTCGAAAATCCCGTTCAACAACTCACATAATATTCATGCAAAGCAGAAATCACAAGTTTGTTACTCACAGAGGACGCAACGACTATGACACGATAGTCCTTGTTCTGATTATCTCACCAGAACAACGTGACACGATTTTATTTGTATTTATCATTTAACCCTGTCAGGAAGCTTTATTTTGTTGGCTTAATACATTGTCTCGTTTTAAAGTTTTCTGAATAAAAACATGCGACAACCTGATAATAAGCGAATGATTTTGAACTGAAATGATTAAAGTAATGAAAACTGACAAGATATTCTGCACTAATGTGCATGTGTATTTGAAACTTCTAGATAAATTACTCATCAACTGTTTGAAGTGCCTAGGATCAACAAAGTGAACAGATAATTGGATAGATGTTTCAGTCAATGGTAATGTTCTGAGTTGACATAGTGAGTGAAGCAAGTATGAATTTATTGGGTGGTATCATCTCGCTTGAAATTCCAGATATACCTCACTGATAATTGTCAAGTAGCAAGTGACTTGGACAAAGATGTTTTCTTTAGTTTCCTTCAATCAACTGGTGTGTATTTAATTCATAGTATATTTTGAAGAGCACATGGCTGAATTGCTACAGGCTTACTGCAAGCTACGGATATGAGCTTCTCGTCATTATCCAAACTCGTCGATTCTTTAGGGAATGTAGATTTTCCAAGTAGCTGAATGTCGTCTTTGGAAGTTTGTTTTATTCGAGTTGATCCCGTCAGATGGAATAATTTATTTCGTATATTATTGAGATTTGTGTTACACAATGAGCAGAAGAGATCGTTTTGACGAACATTGAGAAATTCCTTGAATTATATCTCTATCTGTGTAATCTCTATTGAATATTCATTCGACATATGTTGGCATGTCTAAACTTGACTTAGATATCAACCAAACAAAGGTTGATGATACACCGTATTTCTTAAAACAGGGAAATTCATACTCGTACTACGGAGTACAGTCTATTTCTACATGATTTTTCGGTAGAATAAAATTTCAGTCACATATAAATTCAGTTTTGTTGTACCTGAATAAACAGGCAATAGATCATCATTTGAAAACATTATTAATGAAGGAGTTTACATAGAAGAATGAAACGATTAGTACTTCATAACTAAATTCTATATTGACAGTAAACAAGATTTTACTCGTTATGTTCACTTTGCAGATCAATTAACCACATTCTGATTCATGTTGTTATGTGAAAAATTTGTAATAAGAAGAAGTTCCTCAAAATTTACGTTCCTAACTTAAGGTTTATACTCTGGAATCGATTGTTGATAATGAGCATCTCTACAACTATTCAGAAAGCAACGTGAAACAAATATGTGGAATAAATAAATTACATGAAGCTATAAGATGAAAATCTTTCTAATTGATAGTAATGATAAAAATAATAAACTCATTTCATACCATACATTTAGTCACAGTGAGGAGTTCTCAGCATTAATTGTGTCATGCTACAGAAAATGTTTCTCAATCATTCATTTAAATTGTAAGAATTCAACACCTTCAATAGTCCGCATCTTCCACTCGTATTCAATCATCAATTTTTTCTGTCAGTTCACTTGCTTCAGCTAGTAAATCACTGAATTAGGTGGATATAGGTTGTCCGTAGTATACAAGCAGTGCGAATCACATACGGTAATTAAAATATTCACATTATTATCAATAATTCACTGGTACAAATCTGGAGATAGTGATTTCCATGGCTTCCACCTTTAATTTCACCTTTGGTCTATTCACCAATATTCAATGCATGTATACTCGTTTCCGATAAACAAACAATACAAATTCTCAATTGTTTCCCTTCTCATCATTCACTCCATAGCAATCTGTTCAAATTGCATTCCTCTAAGAACACAACATCATAGAAGAAACATTTCTTGATTTTGTGAAATAATATGTTGTGATATATGGCTTCGAAATATCAGTATGAATGTGTTGACTATCAAATTTAATAAATTCAATACTTTTGTGGAATACATGTTACCACATGTGATAGTAATTTACTCGGACATACGTGAATAAACATTAAATGGTTTGTAGACTAATACATGATGAAAAGTGCTTTAATAAACGGTTTGCACGGTTTTGTTTCTTCGATATACTCATGTGATTGATTGAAATTGTCACGTGGCGACAGTATTACCTAGTCAGTCATCATTGTGAGTTGCCAACAAACCTTAGAATAATACAAGATAAGACGGTAATCAGACAACTCTATCATGTTGCAGTTAAACTTAAGTGGTTTCTTTCTCAATCGCGACCTATATCCAAGGGGAAACACATTAAATTGCGTTACATTGGAAATTGTGTTTCAATAAAATATATGCAGAACATTATTGGTGAAAGTTGCACTAGTATTGCTGTTGAATATGAAAGACAACGATTATATATAAGCTCACATTGCACGAAATAGATTTTTCATCTGAATTACCGAAGTGGTACAACGAAGTAGACAACTCTCTTGCAAATCATGTACAATCTGATTACATCAATCAACCAATATAGTTTATCCTAAACTCACTTTGAAATCATTGATCCTACTCTTCAATAACTAAGACTGTTATCGCTAATAATTTACTGAAGTATATAGACGAACATTCACGAAATTGCCATAAAAATTAGTAGATAACTTCTAGCATTTTGTTTCAGCTCAGAGACTGTTGAATTTCTCACAGTTATCTATAAACCAAGCATGAAGACGAGTAATGTGTGAGGCATTCATCCTTCTCACGTACACACAGTAATGGCTGGCAAATCGGATGTTTCATTATTCCATAAATTCTACAAGAATACATAACAATGAAGCAAACATCCATTAAATCACATTCACAATTAATAAGTGAATCTCGATCATATAACTAACTATATTTTACCAGTGTCTTAAGTTCCAGATGAATTATTCCGTACGAATAGGACCACTTAAACGACATATTGATTATAGGAGATTTGAATTGTTGAATGACAGATGCACTAGTGCATGAATTGAACTTGAATTCCAGATCAAACAAAAGCAACTCAAATTGTGCACAGTATACAAATTTTATTAAATTACACATTGAAAACATGTAGAAAAAAACGTTTTAGTTACAAATATAATCAATCGATTGTAAATTATTTTCAGTGGTTGATTGTCCATGCATTTTTATTGGCACAGATGGGCTGATTGCTTGATTGACAGGTAGTTGTGAGTTCATGAGCAAATCTTTTTAAAACGTTTATTAAGTCGTTGAAGAACTGAAATTAAGAAAAGTTGAAAATCACATTAAAAATTCTACTATCCAGAATACATTGACCATGACATAGGTTTCCAACGAACATAAAATTATCAAAATCTTATCACTAGACAAAAGACTGTGTAGTGAATCATAAGTAAATTTCCAACCCGTTTCATCAATACTTATGAGATTGATCACCACCCATTTCTGAAAATATAAATCATTTTCAGTTGCACAGAAATGTTTTCTATTTTGTGCATCTTTCAGTATGTTGCTCAGTGGATCTTTTTATTTTATTTATTTACTTATTTAATCTAATATTATATAATCTATCTATCTATTTATCTGCTTGTTTGTGATCAGTTTATTATAAAAGTTAATAGTCCATATCATTGATATTTTGATAGTGGGACTTACGAATATGCACAACTTCATTCATCTTCTGACCCAAACCATCTTCTTTGAAATATTCCTCCACCATTCCATTGGTTTTGGTCGCGCATGTTTTCAGACTTCCAAGAGTTTGTGCAGCCTCTAGAAACTGAACATTTTTAAATGTTACTGATAGGAGTATTGTATTTCAAGAGCCTACCAAACTATTCATCGCAGGACCGGAGTTACATCTAAACAATAAAGGAAGAAAAGAAAACAAAGAAATTTTACTAAGCAGTTTACATTTCAGTACAGTATTAATAAAGTGTGCTATAGATAGTGTTTATTTAATTTATTTTTCATACACACTGTTTTATTTCTACTATAAACAGTCACAACAATTTCGATCCAGGGGCAGATAACTGGACAGCAAATATGTTATTCTGTTCACAGTGAATATCCTGACAATTCTGAAATAAATTTCTGTTGTTTCTAGCTCTACTTGATTAATGATATGGCAAGAGCTTATCTAATATCTTTGTAAACGCTGATAGTGAATATTTACCCTCTACTGAAAGAAACTTGCGTTTTTAAACACCATGAAAAACTGTATTGATAACAAATAAAAACCTATTCATATAGTGTCCACATATATTCACTTATACATGTATTTACACTAGATATCTATGATTATCATTGATTATATGTATATTTAAATATAAAATATAGCTTCATATTAACATGATAATGTCAAGATTTATTGTCTAACTCGGTTTGAACAGCGAAAAGACAGACAGCCAGGGAGAGAATGAAGATTGTTTTCATCGTGATATGGAGACTTTCAACTTTACAAATGGATTACTCTCTTCCTTTTATATATTACCGATTCACGTTGTTTATGTTTGGACGTGTATGTTTGTGCAAATGGGTCATCGAGTGTTTACGTTCATCAATAAGGTCATTGGCATTAATAATTCAATTATTAGATGTGTGCGTTTACTCGTGTGTTCATTGAACGATTCATACACCGAGTAGTCTAATCGATTGTCACATGTGATTGGATAGACCGCGATGTTCCGATCTATTTCATATTCCACATCAATGAGTGTTTGACTCTGTTGCTAAATACATTTCGATAGATTATTTCAAAACCAGACATTTCAATGTGTGTTTGACCTGATAAACATCAACTTTCGAGCTTTCATGCGAGTGCATAAAGTTTGTGTGCGAGAATGACTTACGACTGTCTGAGAATTCGAAATTGGAGAAGACTGTCGATAGTTAACTGGTACTAAGGTCATTAGTAGATAATTATAGATAGATTATATTTTTATGTGTTAACATTTCCACATCCACTTAAATGTTTGATTATGAAACGGTAACGACCTATGGGTCACAGCTCTCATCAACTTTTATAGGTCCTTTAGTGGGAAATAAATTTCTGTTTGGGAATGAAAAAATTTTTAAATCATTTGTCGTTAAAGAATAATTTGGGAATTTTCAATACGGTTAAAATAAATTCAGGTTAGATAAATCAAGACGTTAATTTAGAAGACGAAAAGAAAAGTAATCTTGTTAACTTAAGCGCACAACTGTAAATGGTATCTAAATCTGATAGCTTGAAAATAATTATAATGATGGTTTGAGATCTCGATTCTGGTGTTTTCCTTCACCCTTGAGAAGGATCGAGTGAAAAATGATTTCATTTCAACAAATATATTTACATATACATTAAAAAAGAAAATTGGATTGATTTAACAAATTTAGTTTTCGTCTAATATTTTGTAGTCGACTTGTATCCGCCTACTTATTATCTCGATGTGGAACTCATTCACATCACATGTTGCTGAAATTTATAACTTAATTGGGATAGAATATGCTAATGATGTGATTTGACCTCATCATATACCACAAATATAATTAACGTTTATTTAACAAAATGTCTGGGCATAAAGAAATATCGGGAAGTCCTAATTTTTTCTTGTTTTCAATGTTCCTAAAGAATAAATGTGCTTAAGACAATCACTATCATAAACTGATATAAAATGCTATTGATAGAAGGTGTTAAGAGATAAGTCACATAGTCTATTGCAAAGGCAAACAATGAATAAACATTACATGTAATAAATAAATAACTGAGAAATTTTGTCATTTAGGAAAAAATCACATAATTTCATCTAAAATTAAATCCATCCACAGTAAAATGAAATACTGAGAAGACATTTCAAAGGAAACAATTTGAGTAACAAGTTGAATACGTATCCAAGTAATCATAAGTTCAGCGAAATAGATGGATAGATTAGATTAGAGCAAAGTAGATTAGATTAGACAAATACGTAAACAAATAAACAGATCTACTGAGCAACATACTGAAAGGTGCACAAAATAGAAAACATTTCTCTGCAACTGAAAATAATTTATATTTTAAAGAAATGGGTGGTCATCAATCTCAAAAGTATTGATGAATCAATGGGTAATCAGGTTGTACATGATTTGCAAGAGAGTTGTCTACTTCGTTGTACCACTTCGGTAATTCAGATGAAAAATCTATTTCGTGCAATGTGAGCTTATATATAATCGTTGTCTTTCATATTCAACAGCAATACTAGTGCAACTTTCACCAATAATGTTCTGCATATATTTTATTGAAACACAATTTCCAATGTAACGCAATTTAATGTGTTTCCCCTTGGATATAGGTCGCGATTGAGAAAGAAACCACTTAAGTTTAACTGCAACATGATAGAGTTGTCTGATTACCGTCTTATCTTGTATTATTCTAAGGTTTGTTGGCAACTCACAATGATGACTGACTAGGTAATACTGTCGCCACGTGACAATTTCAATCAATCACATGAGTATATCGAAGAAACAAAACCGTGCAAACCGTTTATTAAAGCACTTTTCATCATGTATTAGTCTACAAACCATTTAATGTTTATTCACGTATGTCCGAGTAAATTACTATCACATGTGGTAACATGTATTCCACAAAAGTATTGAATTTATTAAATTTGATAGTCAACACATTCATACTGATATTTCGAAGCCATATATCACAACATATTATTTCACAAAATCAAGAAATGTTTCTTCTATGATGTTGTGTTCTTAGAGGAATGCAATTTGAACAGATTGCTATGGAGTGAATGATGAGAAGGGAAACAATTGAGAATTTGTATTGTTTGTTTATCGGAAACGAGTATACATGCATTGAATATTGGTGAATAGACCAAAGGTGAAATTAAAGGTGGAAGCCATGGAAATCACTATCTCCAGATTTGTACCAGTGAATTATTGATAATAATGTGAATATTTTAATTACCGTATGTGATTCGCACTGCTTGTATACTACGGACAACCTATATCCACCTAATTCAGTGATTTACTAGCTGAAGCAAGTGAACTGACAGAAAAAATTGATGATTGAATACGAGTGGAAGATGCGGACTATTGAAGGTGTTGAATTCTTACAATTTAAATGAATGATTGAGAAACATTTTCTGTAGCATGACACAATTAATGCTGAGAACTCCTCACTGTGACTAAATGTATGGTATGAAATGAGTTTATTATTTTTATCATTACTATCAATTAGAAAGATTTTCATCTTATAGCTTCATGTAATTTATTTATTCCACATATTTGTTTCACGTTGCTTTCTGAATAGTTGTAGAGATGCTCATTATCAACAATCGATTCCAGAGTATAAACCTTAAGTTAGGAACGTAAATTTTGAGGAACTTCTTCTTATTACAAATTTTTCACATAACAACATGAATCAGAATGTGGTTAATTGATCTGCAAAGTGAACATAACGAGTAAAATCTTGTTTACTGTCAATATAGAATTTAGTTATGAAGTACTAATCGTTTCATTCTTCTATGTAAACTCCTTCATTAATAATGTTTTCAAATGATGATCTATTGCCTGTTTATTCAGGTACAACAAAACTGAATTTATATGTGACTGAAATTTTATTCTACCGAAAAATCATGTAGAAATAGACTGTACTCCGTAGTACGAGTATGAATTTCCCTGTTTTAAGAAATACGGTGTATCATCAACCTTTGTTTGGTTGATATCTAAGTCAAGTTTAGACATGCCAACATATGTCGAATGAATATTCAATAGAGATTACACAGATAGAGATATAATTCAAGGAATTTCTCAATGTTCGTCAAAACGATCTCTTCTGCTCATTGTGTAACACAAATCTCAATAATATACGAAATAAATTATTCCATCTGACGGGATCAACTCGAATAAAACAAACTTCCAAAGACGACATTCAGCTACTTGGAAAATCTACATTCCCTAAAGAATCGACGAGTTTGGATAATGACGAGAAGCTCATATCCGTAGCTTGCAGTAAGCCTGTAGCAATTCAGCCATGTGCTCTTCAAAATATACTATGAATTAAATACACACCAGTTGATTGAAGGAAACTAAAGAAAACATCTTTGTCCAAGTCACTTGCTACTTGACAATTATCAGTGAGGTATATCTGGAATTTCAAGCGAGATGATACCACCCAATAAATTCATACTTGCTTCACTCACTATGTCAACTCAGAACATTACCATTGACTGAAACATCTATCCAATTATCTGTTCACTTTGTTGATCCTAGGCACTTCAAACAGTTGATGAGTAATTTATCTAGAAGTTTCAAATACACATGCACATTAGTGCAGAATATCTTGTCAGTTTTCATTACTTTAATCATTTCAGTTCAAAATCATTCGCTTATTATCAGGTTGTCGCATGTTTTTATTCAGAAAACTTTAAAACGAGACAATGTATTAAGCCAACAAAATAAAGCTTCCTGACAGGGTTAAATGATAAATACAAATAAAATCGTGTCACGTTGTTCTGGTGAGATAATCAGAACAAGGACTATCGTGTCATAGTCGTTGCGTCCTCTGTGAGTAACAAACTTGTGATTTCTGCTTTGCATGAATATTATGTGAGTTGTTGAACGGGATTTTCGACGTTTCAAATCAATCAGTAAAATGCTAGTTGATATATGGACTCGATGATATGATGTGATGACCGAGAACGAGAATGTATTATTGACACAAGCCTATGAATGCATAGGAATCATAGAGAACGTCGATAGTCTGGAGAATAGGATTTTGTGTGCAATAAAATGATATGGAAAATTTAGTACAAAATAAACATGATAAATTCTGATAGACTATTATAATTGACTCGTTTTTCCATCAAAGTGATCCTAGTTATTAGGTTCAACTATAGTTCTTCTTAACGATTTCATTCTGATCCTATGGGAGAGCTTTATGACAGAAAACTGTTCTCAGTGTAGGTCTTTGTAAGGATTATAAAATTTCCATCGACTTTACATCGTGTTCAAATTACCGTCATTGATACACACCTACATACAAACAAATAATTTACGTTTATAAATTCTGTTCAATAAAGTGTAATTCATATTATGAATTGATGTATCAAGGTAGTTTATCGCTTAAGATTTATGTGCACTTCTCATTTATGATACTTATGTGGTGATGTTTACAAAGTTGAATTTACAGACGCACACAACTGACGTATATATGCATATAGGTCAAATGCATTGGAATCATAGAGAGAATTGGTTACACTTTCAAAAACAAAGTATTTTTTGTCTAACCTATTTAATTTGTTACATTAATGATCGAGGTATTTAAAACCAGACTGAACTATATTCCATATACCTTTCGCTTAGTTGACTTAATGTAAACTAATTCGAAATGAATAAAGTAGAACGTATGATTTTTGAATACAATTATACGTGATATATCATTTAAACATTTATATCAGTAATTAGACCGTTATTTCAAGTCACCACAATTGATCGATTTGTGTGTTCTCCATTGGGATGTTGGTTGCAGCTGCAGTTTAGTAACGAGAAGCGAATTCTAAAGATGATTTT